GGGGGTTGATATTTCAAGACAGGGCTTCTCTGTGTAGCCCTGGCTGTCCCAGAACTCACTCTGTAGACCAGGCTGGCCTCGAACTCTCAGAAATCCACCTGCCTCTACCTCCCAGGTGCTGGGATTAGAGATATATGTCACCACTGCCCGGTGTGTTTTTAAAATCTAGCATTTGTGTTATTATCTAGTTAAAACACGAGGCTGGAACAGTTTTACTTTGAACAAGTGACTTTCTTCTGGGTTTCCGCTAACACCCTGCTCCTGGCTAGCCTTTGTAGCTCATGTGTTTTCCTAGTGCAAAATAAGAAAGGAAGAAGTAACTTTGTATAGATGTATGAAATTCCCAAAGAACAAATAAAAAATATATTTTAAAGCCAGATAAAGATAGCTTTTGAAAACTCATTATTTCATTTGCTACAAAGGACCTTTTAATCTTCTTTGAGGCCCCATGGGAAAAAATTTAATTTAGAGCTAAGTATCAGGAAACTTTTGCATTAGATTACAGATCTGTAAACTTTCCATCTTTTGAAAATTAAAACTTTGTACCACACATGGAGCAATCTTGAATCAAATGTATCATAGAAATTAGGGTGTGCAGGCAACTGCTAGGGCCTGATTCAGATCTCGACTCCTCAGTCTAGTGTGTGTTTTTACATCCTATTTAGTTCACAACTGTAAGCTGTCTGCAACTCTGGAGTGTGACTGAGTGCATGCAGACATGATTCAGAGTAGCATATTCTCCTTTGTGGTACAGTTTGGCATTTTGAGTCCTTGGCAACTTAGGAGTATCAAAAGTTTTTGATTGGTGTATTAATAAAACATGGGTTTAAGTTTTACAGATTAATATTGAGTTCTTCTAGTGCTTTCAAGAGGAGCCTAAACTTCCCACACTTGAAATACCATTGAACCCACATTTTCTGTGTCTAGGAAAAAGGCTTGAAAGCATACAAAAAGCCCTCGAGGTGGCTTTCTCGGAGGCGGCCTGGAGGCAGCCATCTGTTGTTCTGCTGGATGACCTGGACCTCATTGCTGGACTGCCAAGTGTCCCAGAGCATGAGCACAGCCCTGAAGTGGTGCAGAGCCAGCGGCTTGCACATGGTAATGGTCCTCCACTGGGTTGGGAGCTTTTACATTTGTCAGTCAATATTTTTCATTTTAATGGTGAATCGATTTTTTACGTTTTTAATTAGTTTTATTTATTTATTACTTGTCCATTTGCTGGGGGTGGCGGCTGTAATGCCTGGGTGAACAGATGGAGGTCAGAGGACCTTTTTCAGGAGTCTCTTCTCTCCTTCCACCAAGTGGGTCCTGGAGATTGGCCTAAGATTGCCAGGCTTGGTGGCACATGGCTTTACCTGCTGAGCCATCTCGCTGGCCCTAAGTCTTCCACTTTAAGGGAATAAGGTATATGCCTATTGTGTGTTCCTTTGGGTGCATGGTAGCCTTCTCCAGCTCTGTGTTAGGAAATGGCAGAGCAAGAACAGAGACATCCCCTGACTTCATGACTGGCCTTCTCACTCTACATCACTTCTGGAAGCTGTTCTGTTACAGACTTCCTCTCGCTTCTGGTTCATTGGCAGGTACTGGTTGAATACATCTTTGTATTCAGCCTTCTCAAAGTCCAGGAGAGGAAAGGAAGCAACTTCAGTGCAGAATAGCGGTAATAATGGTGGCTTCTCTGTAGGATGCAGTTTCTGGGAGAGGGTGTGCCCTGAGAGTTCATGAGGTATCTCCTGGTTTCATAAGTGAGTAAACGGAAAGTGACAAGTATGTGGGGCAACTTGAAGGCGGCAAGACGCATGGTCTTAGAGGAATGAGCATCTAACCTAAAAGATAGTGTGGTGGGCTACAAGGGTTGCCGGAAGGCTTCCAGAGATGCTGGTAACTGAACCGAGTTTTAATGGAAAGGTGAAAATTAACAGGCAGCAAAATATGTACAGTTCACAGGGAGAGGCGCTGAGGCACAAGAGATTATACCATGTGGAGGAATATGCCTCTGACTGTAGCTTACAGTGTGAAGACAGACCTGGTGGGGAGGGAGGGCTTCAAGGACTCACAGGATTGCCTCATGAGTCTGGAGAGCTGAAGTCAACCAAAATATAGCAAGAGTAGCTTCCGTTAGATTAACTAGAGTTGATCTCACAGGAAGGCTGCAGCTCTCTGGATCAGGACTCAGATAAATTACTAATGCTTATTTCAGTTCTAATCTCCTCAGCTAAACTTTGCTAAGCCTTGAATAGAAAGAGATTATCCAGGAAGTGTTAGAAACACAGCCTGTTCTGTTAATAACCATGATAGTATGGACATTTACCATCCTTCTAGAATATTCACTTCTAAGATGTCAAAAAAATAGACATTTTGGATTCATTTACCTTATAAGATCCAGGAGTACGGAACCTCAGTAGACATGTTCTGAGTTTACAGGACCTCCTACACTTCTGTTTCACTCACCATCAGTGACTGGGTTTTAACCATGGAGCTGTTCCATCTTATAGCTTGAAGTTAAGTTATTAGCATTTTAATAAATATGGAGGTTTAAATTGTCATGATTTTTTTCCCCTGAGCTTTATGCTATTTTACATCATTTTAGCTTTGCACGGTATTATCAAAGAGCTTGTTTCTATGGGAAGTTTGGTCGCGCTCGTTGCCACGAGCCAGCTCCAGCACTCGCTCCACCCTTCACTTGTATCTGCTCAAGGAACCCACATGTTTCAGTGCATGCAGCACATCCAGCCTCCCAGTCAGGTAAGTCACTACTCAGAAAGGTTATCACAAATATTCCTTTCCTTAGGAACTGCTTTTATTTTTATAGTTGCTGCTTCTAGGAGATTGTGTAGATATTTAAGGGCAACAAGTGCAGTTTGAGAGCACAGATTATAATTTATAATCATCTAAAATGTTATGTACTTGCTAAGGACATGGCTTTCTTAAAGTTAGTATTTTTTCTAAATGAGGATGAAATGAAAACGAGACATCTTTTAACAATTTGATGACTCCCTCTGGGACGTGATGCTCACCAAGCATTTGGTGACCATGAGCAGGGGAAGGATTCTCAGACTGAGAAGCACACTGGAGACACGTAAGAATTTTGTTTAAGATTCTTGCCTAGTTCTACCTTAACTATTGAGACTCTTTGCCCTTTACCTGTTATTGAGAAAGCAGGAGTATTGCCCTGTTACTCTGTGTCACAGCGGCTTGGTGATAAAAGCTTGCCTAGTATGTGCAAGGGCCCTGGGTTCAGTACTCAGCAGTGATATTGGCTGTCTTATTAAGGTCACTGCTGTTGTGATAAAGCACCATGACCTAAAGCAACTTGAGGAGGAAAGGGTTAATCTCACTCAGTTCCATACAAAGTAGTGACAGCAGGAACTCACAAGCCGAGGACCTGCAGGCCTGAGCTGGTACGCAGACCAGGGAGGGTGCTGTTTATTGGCTTGTTCCCATGACTTGCACGTGACTGCTCAGCTTGCTTTCTTATACAACCAGGACCACCAACCCAGGGATGGCAGCACCTAGAATGGGCTGGGTCCTCCCACATTCATCACTAAGTAAGAGAATGCCCTACAGGCTTCTTGACAGCTTGATGTTATTATGGAGGTGTTTTCTTGCCCAAGGTTCCTTCCTCTCTGATGACTCTAGCTTGTATAAAGTTGACATAAAACTATCCTACATATTGGTTATTGAATATGTTTTTAGAAATGTTATAGCAACGAAAACAAACAAAAAACCTCTTAAGAATCAGAATGTTACTTAAAATACTCCTTATTGGAGAAAGAAATGGTAGTCTTGTATCAGTGTGGTTGTTTTTGAAAATTTACTGAGAAATGCTTGAAGTATAATTTTAGACAAGACTGCACCATGTAGTGTGGGTGCCTAGAAGTCTATACAACCCTAACTTGTATAAATGCATTCTGTGATGTTCACATAACGATAAAATTGCCTGGTGAGGCTTTTCTCTGATTATATTCCCATTGCTAAGTGACATATAACTCGTGAAATGTACTCTTGAGAAATTAATAATCTGAATTTTGTGTTTTTTCTTAAGGAACAGAGATGTGAAATTCTGCATAGTGTTGTGAAGCATAAGCTGGGCTGTGACATAAGCGAGTCCCCGGACGTGGATCTGCAGCGCATAGCTAAGGAGACAGAAGCCTTTGTGGCCCGAGACCTTACGGTTCTCGTGGACCGAGCCATACACTCTTCTCTGTCTCGCCAGCCTGGCTCCACCCGGGAAGGTATGTGTGCAACCCTGCCCTTCTTTCTCTTGTGGGAATAGTCAGAGCACAGCAAGGATTGTATACATTTGGCTTCATAGGATATTTGTGTAGGAGTCTGGCATTTCCAGCCAATATGACAACATATTTTAAAAATGAATTGGTCTTGGAGGTACATGCCTTTAATCCCATCACCCAGGAGGCAGAGGCAGAGGCACGCTGATCTCTTTGACTTTGAGGCTAGCTAGGGCTACCTAGTGAGATCTCATCTAAAATTTTGGAAAAAAAAAAGAAAGAAAAAGCACTTTTGTTTATTTTTAAACAGAATTGACTTTAACAACATCAGACTTCCAAAAGGCTCTCCATGGATTTCTTCCTGCTTCTCTGCGAAATGTCAACCTACATAAACCTAGAGACCTGGGCTGGGACACGATTGGTGGGTTACATGAAGTTCGGCAGATACTCATGGATACTATCCAGTTACCAGCCAAGGTAAGATAAAACACATGGACACACATGAACAGAGTACTGATGGCCAGGAGAAACCCTGAACCATTGGCTATGGCTTTATATATTAGCTCATCCAGTTTCCAATCGATTGACAAGTATTTACCGAATTATCAAACAAAACACGATTTTGGTATTTTCTTGGCTTGTAAATGTAAATCCATTTTGGCATGAATATCTTAACTCTGTTTTGCTTAAGTCGCTCAGATTTGCTAAAGCACAGTGATCCATCTGCTGAGATTTCAACAGTAGCAGGTAGGAATGGTGTAGGACAGGTGGAATATGCAGACTTTTGGACTCTGGAACTTGTCCTAGAAAGGCAGAGTTGACAGGTAGTATGAGCTAGGTCAATGGGAAGATAAGGGCTGCAGGTAGAATCTAGGGCACAGTGTGTTGAATCAGGAAGACTGAGAAATGAGGGCAGTTGTGTGAGATCCAGGAGTCATGCAAAGTATGGAAATGATTAAGGATTTTGGGTTGCTTGTGGTGGTCAGCAACTCTTGTCAGGGCCTGGGATGTGTTGAGTACAGCACAGAACCTTAGGTTCACGCCTATGGGAAGAGAAATTGCCATAGAATTACTAGCCAGCAACATCATGACCTCAAATGAGGAGTCTGGGCACCAGGCATCAATACCCAAATATCTGGAGGCCTCTCCAGTTAGTGTATGTAGAATGTAGAAGCGAGGTTGGAATTTCGTCACTAGATAACTCGCAGAGGCTTGCTCAAGAGAAGAGGCAAGGATACTGCTGATTGTAGCTGATATTTAGTTAATGTCAGATGGGATTTTGTGCTCTGGGCAGCTGGTTATTTAAAAAGCTGGTAATTTAAAAAGAATTAATCACTCGTTTAGCAGGGAGAGGCATGACTGTCTATAACCATAACATGTGCTTCCTCTGTGTCTCTTTGATGCAGTACTTGAATGTATCAGCTATCAGAATTTAACCATACAAGCTGTAGTATGCTTGCTGGAAGACTGGACATTTGGCCTCTGTTTTCCTAACAGTACCTTTATCACACTTTAAAAAGGAAGACTGGTTTAGTTCTCTATAGCTCAGTGGCTGTGCCTTGCCCAGCTTTCCTACCAACAAAACAAAACAAAACTCAGTGAAGCAGAAGGATGTTCTGATGCCCTGACACGACACATGCTTCCTTTGTACACATGCATTCCTTGGACTCCGTTATTTCCAATAAGGGTTTCCTTTTCTGCTTCTGTGTTCTTATTAATAAAGGGAGGTGGCAGTTATCAGCATCCAGATACTTTCTGTACACTGTGTCTGTGCAGTCTCTGTTTAGATTTTTGCTCTTTGCCATACTTTTACTATTTTTCAGTACCCAGAATTATTTGCAAACTTACCCATACGACAGCGGACGGGAATACTGCTTTACGGTCCTCCTGGGACAGGAAAAACTTTACTTGCTGGGGTAGTTGCGAGAGAGAGTGGAATGAATTTTATTAGTATTAAGGTATGTATGCACCTGCCTTCCTCCCTTGTGTTTTTAACTGAGTCAAACTTATGTAACATCCACTTAGCCATTTGAGTGTCGAGGTCATTGGCACTGTAGTGCACTCACAAAGCTCCAAGCCTTCTCCCTCCCATTCTGAAAGCTCTTGGATTCTGTTTTTGTGCCCTCTCTTCTCATTCCTTAGCAGCCATTACTTCTGTGTCTGTGGATTTTGTATGCTAGAAATCAGGCCATATGTGCCCCTCCGTGTCTAGCTTCTTCTACTCAGTATGCTTCTAGTTGTGTGTGTTAATACCTTCATCCCTTTTGTGGCAGAAGTGCGTTCCATTGCTTACCTGGGCCACGCTTTACTTAGACATTCACTGTTCCTGGGAACACTTGGGTTGTTTCACCTTTGGGCTTTACTACATGTTTTTAACATGAAATTGTTTATTCTGCGTTCATGTTTATGTGTATGGGTGGGCACTCACGTGCCACAGCAAGCATGTCATGGGACAACCTGTAGGAGTTGGTTCTTTTGTGCACCATGTGGTTCCACAGACAAAATTCAAGTTGCCAGGCTTTGTGGCAGGTGCCTGCACCCACTGAGGTACCACCACAGTATTCTACCACGAGGCTCTTATGAATAATGTTATAAATAATATCCATGTGCAAGTTTTCTGTAGACATATGTTCTCATTTCTTTTGGTACATAGTGAGTAGAATCACTGGGTCTTCTGATAAATCCTGCTTAGCTCCTTCAGGAACCCCCATTCCCCCCCTTACCCCCCCCCCAAGTCCTTGCTAGTTCCAGTTATGTTTCTCAGTCGTGGGTTATCTCCTATTTGGAAAGCTAGGGGGAAGAATGATGCATTAATTGGTTTATAGCTGTTAGGAATCCCATGCTGATCCACCTCTCTTTCTCAGTGGCTTTTATATTCTTGTTTAAGGCAAATCACCATCATTGTGAATAGAGTTTTATAAGAGAAAAAGCAAAGTGTATTTAAGGGAAAAGAGGCCTGCAGGAGTAAAGGCCAGTTTTATGGTCCCTTGCTGGCTACCCTTCACCCTCCCTGCTGCATGCAAGCTCCAACGTGGTTTTAGGTACACAGCAAACGAAAGAGTTAACAGTAGAAAGAGATGGTAAACAGACACCCTGATACTGGGCTGGAGGAAGCACAACCTGAAAACACAGTAAGGGGTACGGGGTAGCTGGGGAGGTCACAGTCACAGTGATGTCAGGCAGAGATCTTCAGAAGAGGTATGCTTTGACAAAGATGGGAAGGAAATAAAGCCACAGGCTAGGAGAACATCTGTGACAGTGTTACAGGCAAAGGAAACTAAGGGCAGGGACCAGTTGTGACACTTTAGCCCAGTGCAGTTCATTTGTAAGGTACATCCTCTTATGTAAGAGACATCCATCCACTCAATCGGATCTTAAACGTTCTGTGCTGAATTATGCTTAATCAAAACCCAAGGCCCTGTTTGCTGATAATTAACTTCATCTCTCTGATTTTATTTTACCCTCTAGGGACCAGAGTTACTCAGCAAATACATCGGAGCCAGTGAGCAAGCTGTGCGAGATGTCTTCATCAGGTGGCTTTCATGAGTGATTGTTGTCACTTCCTAATCCTGCTTTTGGACGTATTTTTTGAAGAACAGTATTAAAAACCTATGGTTTATATGAATTATTAACAAATCAAAGGGCAAGCATTTTATTTCAGCAAATACTACCAAAATTAGGCTATTTTAAATGCTAAATTTTGGAGATTATTTTGTATTTACAATAGTAATATTCCTGAAAATAGAATCCTAATTAGTGTTCAAAGAAAGGTCAGAGTAGATCTTCTCTCTCTCTTTGGAGACAAGCTCTCAGTCTATGGGACAGATGAACCTTGAACTCCCAGACCTTCTGCCCCAATTGCTGGGATTAGAAGTATACAGCACCACACTTTGCATTCAAATTAGATTCTTACATGAAGCAAATAGTTATTCCTGATACATGCCTTATGTTTTTTAAGTTTTATGTTCTTGTTTCCCTGCTCCTAACATAGCTCTTAGAAATCAACATACCATCTATCCAGTTTGATTAATGCTTGTATTACTGAATGTACATAAGATAATATATTAATACACAAGAAAATACTTACAGTTGAAATAATTATTCAAGGGCAACAGAATTATGGTAATTTTTTTAAAGTAAAAATTTACTTTGTAATATTCTTCTAAACATTTTATTATATATAGTAAATATATGAATATAATTTGTAAAAAAATAATAAGGTAAAGGTTTATATAAATATCTACTGTGCAATTTAAGAAATAGAGCCTCAAAGAGGGGTTAATATTAAAGTCCATGACTACATATTGACGAAAGGCTAAATTAAAAAAGAAACATTATAATTACAAATATTATATATCTAATAATACCAGTTTTTTCGGAGTGTTCCTATAAAACAATATAAAATACTGAGCTTGCTGTCTGTGAATAGGTTGAAGAATTGAACAGCATTCTTAGAAGCAGAAGCCACTGAGCACACATAAACATGGCCACCATGCACAGGAGAGTTGCTCAGGGGTTCAGAGAGCTTACTGTTGTCCCAGAGAACACACACACAAATTAAGAAATACTAATGGCTACCCATGATAACCTATTGGCTATGATTTGAGTTTTAGTCTGTTACTTATCCACAGGTATGAATCTCCAAACAAATATTTAAGCTCTCAAGAGTCAATTTAGAGAGGAAGATGGGAGGCAAATATGACCAAATACATTGTGTGCATATATGAATTATCAGAGAATTAATAATATAAAAATAAGTAGCAGTGCTATGAACAGAAAACTCAGTTTAAATTTAAATATACAGAAAATAAGGATAATTGCATGTAATTTGCTTATGTACACACACAGTTATGTTATATATTATCTATCGTGTGTGTGTGTGTCTGTGTGCGTGCACGTATGTGTGTGTGTCTGTGTGTGCGCACGTGTGTGTGTGTGTCTGTGTGAAGAGTTTGAAAACTCTGGAGCCCTGATAAAATATAGGATTTTCCCCCCTCAGAGCACAGGCTGCAAAGCCCTGCATTCTTTTCTTTGATGAGTTTGAATCCATCGCTCCTCGAAGAGGACATGACAACACAGGGGTTACAGACCGAGTAGTCAACCAGTTGCTGACACAGTTAGACGGAGTAGAAGGCTTACAGGGTAAATCACTGTTCATGCAAAAACACAATAGAAAAGAAACTACTAAATGATCATGCTAAAAGTATTTTTTCCCTCAGGAGTTTATGTGTTGGCTGCTACTAGTCGTCCTGATTTGATCGACCCTGCCCTGTTGCGGCCTGGCCGACTGGATAAATGTGTATACTGCCCTCCTCCAGATCAGGTGACAAAATTCTGGAGCATCCACAGATGCTCTCCTCTAGCTGATGTCACACTCTTTGCTTGTGAGCTTTACTTGGTCATGTGGTACCAATTGTCCTAAGAAGATAGCTTTGTCCTTAGAGAATAGCTTTGAAGCTTGGTGGTGGTGGTGGTGGTGGTGGTGGTGGTGGTGGTGGAGGTGGTGGAGGAGGTGGTGGAGGAGGTGGTGGTGGTGGTGGTGCATGCCTTTAACCCCATACTCAGGAGACAAGGGTAGGGGCAGGGGCAGGAGCAAGGGCAGGCAGATCTCTGTGAAGTAGAGGCCAGCCTGATCTACAGAGCGAGTTCTAGTACAGCCAAGGCTACACAATGAAACCGTATCTCAACAAACACAAAAGAAGACAGCTTTGCAAGTGAAGCCTTTGTTCACTGTTTGCTCAAAGCATACAAGACACTGGGTCAGATGTGGTACTTTCAGTGCCCTCCTGTTTCAGGAATGGCTGTATAGATCTATAGGAGAAAATCAGGAAACCTAAAAAGTGTCCTTTGTGATCTCACACTCCATATACTGTAAGAAGCCTCCAGTTCAGAATCAAGCAAGTGGGCCAGTGAGCATGTGGCCAGGTCACATGGAGAAATCTGTTCAACTCTTCTTGTCTTGCTCTGCCAATCCTTTCTCCCAAGTGTAGAAAGTAATAAATAATGAAAGAGAATGGCCCAAAAGTCAAAGTCTTTAGGCCATGTGTGCTTGTTTCTTAATGATTCTCCTGTGTTGGCACACTTGTCCAAATCTAGGAGACAACCACAGTACGTGTATTCACATTGAATAGTTACAAATGTTGGCTTTTGGGTTTCTTTAAGAAACACAGAAATAGGAATATGTTTTCATTTTAATCTCAAGTGTGGGGACGTGGGGCTGCTTCAGATTGTTACAGCAGCTGTGATTTGCCTCATGCTCTAGCAGGGGCATGGTTTTGCCAGCTGCAGATAGTTTCTACAATTGTGTGATGTTTGGAATTCTGGGGGCTTTTCAGAGGGTACATAAATGCTAGGGCCCCTGAGAGTTTGTTGGTTAGTTTGTTAAATAGTCACGTGAGAAGAAGAAGAGGTGGAGGAGGAGGAGGAAATTAGATATCCTGTCATTGAAGATTAAACTTGCCCCCAAGGAACTTGGTGCCCCTAAGCATCGGGAAGTCACCCCCTTTCCTCTCTATCCTTTTTTCTTTTATCTAGTGTTAGGGGGTTAACAGGGTAGAGAAAGGTGGAAGAAAACCCCCACAAAGTAGCAAAGGCTATACCTATGTCTTTTAGGGATCCAGTTCTAAGAAAGATGATTTACTTCTAGTACAAACTGCTTGGAAAGCTTAGCTTGTTAGACATGTCAATTCATGAAAAATGCCTTAGGGAATCACAGTTTACAGTAACAGCTAATTTTTTTGTGTGTTTAGTAAGTTAGTTTTTCTTCCTTCAGGTGTCTCGTCTTGAGATTTTAACTGTCCTCAGCAAGTCTCTAGCTCTGGCAGACGACGTGGACCTTCAGCACGTGGCGTCTGTCACTGAGTCCTTCACTGGAGCAGATCTGAAAGCTCTGCTGTACAACGCACAGCTGGAGGCCCTGCAGGGACGGCTGCTGCCCAGTGGGCTCCATGTGAGTGGCATGGGAAGGCTGTCGGGCGGTCACTGAGGGAAAGAGCACTTCACTGATAGACTATGTAGAATCTTTCATTTGCCTGTTGTAAATAGTCCAAAATTGGAATGTGGGATTTGCAGAGAATTTTAATTATGAAGATTTGGTATCTGTTTCCCTAATATTACCATAATATTAACAAACTATTTGGTATTAGAAAGATTATTTAGAGTGAAGTAGTGTGAATTCGTGTAAGTAGAAGAATAACTCAGGTTTTCAGCTCTGCTATGCTTGTAACGGGTACTACTCGTGGCGTCTCTGCATGACTCAAGGCCCCTCTCGTATCCTGTCGTCCTTCAGCCATCTTACTCCCAACTACAGGATGATCTTTATCTAGCTGGAGTTTTCTATATCCCAGCCCTAGAATCAGCATTTTCTGTTAACGATGGCGTTTTATTTCCAATTATTGCAGTAGATAATTTACATTATAGACTTTGCCTATTTTTCTAAGAAGCTTTACTATATATTTCCCTCCACTGATTTTGGTTGGAAATTTCTGCAAGTCCTAAATTTGTTAACTAGTTCCTAGTGTGTAGGGAGGACACAGGGATGACCGTGTACATGGCAGTCAATGAGCAGCCGGGGGTGGCACACCTCAAGCACCCCTCCCTTTCTGAGACAGAGCCTCTCACTGGGCTGACCCTGGTGGGCTTGCTGTCCAGGGAGCATCTCGGTCATACCTGTCTCAGTGCCAGCACTGACGCCAGACCCACACTGTGGTTCCCCAGGGTTCTACACGGGCTCTGGGGGTTAGAATCAGCACTTCTCCCCACAGTCAAGCTTTGCTATTTAGCAAGCCATTGTTGTGGCTGTTTATTTTTGCTTTTTATGGTACTAGGGACTGAACTAGGACCTAACACATGCTAGACAAACTCTGTACGACTAAGCTACATCCCTAGCCCCAAGATTTCTATTAGAATAAAATGGCAAAAGGTACCTTGGCAGGCTGGAGCCAAAAACGCCACAAGTTAGATCATGCAACAGATCACAGGCAAGAGATTTATTGGGAGAGGAGGGAAGAGTGAAAGGCCAACTTGGAGTGGGGACATGAGAGACAGACAGAATGAGCAAGGTGATAGGGAACAAGAGATGAGGAAGAGAGAGGGAGAGATGGGGGAGGGGAGGGAGAGGGAGAAGGAGGGGGGGAGAGAGAGAGAGAGAGAGAGAGACACACACACACACACACACACAGACACAGACACCAGGGCCTTTTTATGTGCGGACCCTGGCCTTTGGCCTTGGCAGGTGATGACATGAGCTGCTGCAGCTGAGACACTGAAAGGCAGCTTGATGGAGCGCCAATGTACACGTTTCTTCTTTCTGAATCCTTAGTTCATTTGAATGCTTTACAATTGTGTACACACACACACACATATACTCTAATATGGTTGATAAAATTTCACAGTAAAAACAGAGATGAGTGAAAGGTAGAGATGAAGAAATAAAACCTAGATTCTAAGTTCTAGTTTTGTTGTCATTGGGATAGTCAGTGGGTTTTCTTCATGTTAAACCTCCTTTGTGGTAACAGAGACATTTGTACTGTGTAAGGCTGGGCATGTAGAGTACCTAGATGCATAAAGCTCAGAATGCATCCCTCAGCACCAGGGAAATCAGCCATAAGCACCTGAAGTCCTAAGAATCATAAAATCAAGGTGCTCCTAAGCTACACAGCAGGTCTAAGGCAGGTGTGGGCTACACAGCATCCTGTCTCATACAAACAATTTCAGTGCATCTCTCAGTCCAGAGGATTAAGAGCTTCCTTAGAAGTACGAGCTTCCCACTCTGCTCAGTGGAGTGATGTCTGCTGCTGTTTCTAGTTACGGAGTATTTAAGTCTTACAACTGGCACTCTTTCTGTGTAATTTAGGATGGAGGCTCCAGCTCTGATAGTGACCTAAGTCTGTCTTCAATGGTCTTTCTTAACCACAGCAGTGGTTCCGACGACTCAGCTGGAGACGGAGAGTGTGGCTTAGAGCAATCCCTTGTTTCTCTCGAGATGTCTGAGATCCTTCCAGATGAATCAAAATTCAATATGTACCGGCTCTACTTTGGAAGCTCATATGAATCAGAACTTGGAAATGGAACCTCTTCTGACTTGGTACCTTGTGCATGTATCCTTGTGTGGCTCAGATACATAAAGCTCTAGGTTGATGTGATACTGGACTGGGATGGGTCTCCTAACCTGCCCCACATAGCCTATGGTTGGTTGGTCTGCAATAAAGGTAGTTTTGTTTTTTCAATTACGCCAATCAGTCATTTTTAGTTTTTGTTAAACTTTTACAACAAGAGCCAGGAGCAAGGGGGCTGGTTCCATAGGGACCTGGTGTGCTTCCCTCTTGTGGTCACTTGGGAGTTTTTCTCCCCATGAGTGATTTTAAACCCTCTTTACTGTGAGAAGATCTATTTAATGTTAAATATAAACTTTATTGTCATGAAGTACTTCTGGATATTAGGAAATTTGCTGCAATAATGTCTAAAATTCATAAAACCCACAAATGATGCCTATTTGTGAGTCTTCTTATGGAAAGCATGAAAAGAAGTAATAACATGTATCAAACAAGGACAATTTAAATATGGGCAACATCGTTTTTCTCTTTAGTTAAAATATATGCTCACTCAAATTAATAGTGGCTTACTATTTTTAATATGTAACATTATATATATATGTTTCTAAAAAAAGTAAAAATACCTACTTTTCTGAGGTCTTATTTTTTATAAATTTCTGTTTTCTACTTTTTAACTTCTCTCTAGAAATACCTGGGAACATTAGCATAAGTATTTTCTAGGGACTAGAGAAAGAGCTAGGAAGATCTCTGACAGTGAAGTGCTTGGCACAGACAGAGGCATGGCCTGAGCTCTGATTCCCAGGACCCAAGACAGACAGATAGCTGGACAGTGCCATGTATCCGTAATCCCAGGCTGGGGAGGCACAGACAGGAGGATCACTGAGGTTTGCTGCCAGACAGTCTAGACATCACTGAGCTCCAGGTCAGAGTCTATCTCAAAAAATAAGGTGCAAAGCAATTGAGAAAGACACCTCACATTGACTCCTGGCCTCCACACATGCTTACACACACACACGCGCGCACACACGCACACGCACACTGAAGAGTAAGGCTCATTTTGAACCTGTCCTTGCCATCAGTGTAATAAGTTTGAGTATCAAAATAGTAAAAGAAAGTAAACCTTTATATTATGGATGGTGGTTTGTTTTGCTATGGAGATCTTACACCATAGGTATCAGTGAACTTACTGTCTTTTAAACTTGCTTAACTTTAGTGAATAAAATATAAACTTACCTAAGGTTATTGTTTGAGGGATATAGCTTCTGAGAGTCTGCCTGTATTCCTACCAAGTAGACTGAGCAGCATCAAGCAGACATGAATTTGGAAGGGAAAGTGAAGGAATATGGCAGGAGAGGGAGGCCAGGAAGTGGGATGGATTTGATAAAAATACGTATATGCATGTGTAATATATTTTAAGTAATAAATTTTAAAGAGAAAACAAAGTTTTCATTTTTTATCTTCAGTGAACATGGCTCTTTGTTTCCCTCTCTTCTTTCCCATCTCTTTCTTCTGTCTTTACCCATCATGCAGAGCTCACACTGTCTGTCAGCACCAAGCTCCGGGACTCAGGATTTACCTGCTGCTCCTGGGAAAGACCCATTGTTTACACCACATCCTGTGTTCAGGACACCTTCCCAAGAAGGCTGCCAAGACCTTACACAGGAACAGAGAGACCAGCTGAGGGCAGATGTTAGCATCATCAAAGGCCGATACCGGAGCCAGAGTGGAGTATGGCCCTTTCCCTTCCTCTTACAACTTTTACAAGTTGCTTTTCCTTTTTTGACATGTTTCTTTGGGTTTTAACTGAGCCATATTTATAAGCAAAGTGCTGAAGCACAGTGACCCAGCCCACTGACAGTCCTTGCTCTGTGATTGTCTTAAGAGAGAAAATGTATGCTTTACAGGAAAAAACTTTTCAAGAAATAACACGGGGACTGCCACTTTATCTTTTGGGACTGCCACTTTATCTCTTGAATTCCTAAGTTGACATCTGCTTAATCTGCTTTTTATTTAAGGAGGATGAATCCCTTAACCAGCCTGGACCAATCAAAACCAGTTTTGCTATTAGCCAGGCACATTTAATGACTGCGCTTGCCCACACAAGACCATCCATTAGTGAAGACGAAGGGAAGGAATTTGCTGAGCTGTAAGTAACCATAAGAAACATGTTGTTCACTTCAGTTCTGAATTGTTTACATGTTTTTTAAATTTGGAAGCTAATTTAAAGCTATATATGGTGAACTGGGGCTGTAAATGAGTGACAGAGGATGTGCCTGGGATATGTGAGACCCTGGATCATCATTCCCATAACCAAAAAAGATATTGTAGTAACTATGCACTTAGACTTTCCTTAATTAATGTGTTAGTCTATGAGTTATAGTATAGTGAACTAATTTTAGAAAATGAACAGGACAATGAATAATGGTGTAATTAATTCGATTTAGTTTATAATATTTATTAAAAATATACTGGTTCTAGATGAGCATGGTGGTGTACCTTTAATTCCAGCACTTAAGAGACAGAGGCAGGTGGAGGCCGGCCTGGTATGGATATTGAGTTCCAGGACAGGCAGGGCTATATCTCAAATACATATGTGTGTGTATTATTTATTTATATAGTTATATGATGTGTGTGTGTGTGTATATATATATATATATACACTGTTATATATGTGTGTGTGTTTGTGTGTGTGCTGGTTTTGTCCTTAAGATGATTTACAGTTTAGTAGTGTCAACGTTTACTTAGAATCTTTCTTACCTATAGAAAGGTTATACTTTGGCTACTTTTCATGGTGGACTAGCCACCCTTCCATGTTAGTGATTCAACATAACTCAAAAAGTTTGTTCCTGGTTTTGTCTAAGAGTAAATACTTCAATTCTTGCTCAACTTTGCTGTTCTTTAGAGGGAAGTGCACATATATCAGCAATGTGGTTTTATTGTACAAATACCAAAAAACAAAGATAAGGAAGAGTAGGAAACAGAAATTTCCTTACTCTCATGTGACTGTGTGTACTTACATTTTTAAAGTAAGAGTGCTTTACCTATGCTGGTAGGCCACTGTCCCCTTTAAACCATCTGTTCATCTTAAACACTGTGTGACATACATTGTGCAGGTGGCCACTTTGTTGTGTTCAATGCCAGTTTTTTAGTAGATTTCTGTGACAGTGTCCATGTTTTGACATTTACATACCTCAAGGTGCTCACTGCTATTCTGTAAGCAGCTTGAAGTGTTTGCCCTTCTTTCATGAGCTCACCGAGGTGAAGACAGAAGCACTGCATCATAGGGCACTAACAGTTGTAAGGCTTTGAGAATACGTTGCCAACTTGCTCTAGTGTCTAGTGTGTCCTGCACTGCAGAACACATACCAGATCTCAAACCCTCCCACAGCTCAGTGCCCACTGTTCTAACCATGGCCAATATGACTGCAGAGATACTATGTACTGTTTAGCAATTTCCTTGTCTTTGAATAAAACTACACAGGTTATAATTTTCATATTGGTTTTGTCATTTGTATTTTCTCCTAATATACTGTTTAGTTTCTTTTTTCTACTAGACTAAAACTTGGAAAAATTATTTTTAAGAAATTTTTAATTTTCTCTATAATTTTCCAAGTTATTTCCCTTTTATTTCTTAAAATATAAAGCTATTTAAAGAGTCTACTATCTTTATTTTGTAATTAGAAAGTATTATTCATTAATATCATCTTTCTTTTTAAGGTATGAAAACTTTCAAAATCCAAAGAAGAGAAAAAATCAAAGTGGAACCATGTTTCGAACTGGACAGAAAGTAACTTTAGCATAAATGTACTTCTGATTTTTCTAGTTTGTTTGCTCTGATGGTCTGTCCCTAAGTTGTAACTATAAAAATGATGTAAAAATTTTAATTTAATAAATTTGGTTAATCTATAAAATCACAGAATGCTAAATGCTCAGGGCAATCTGAGGTTAACAGTGCAGACAAGTCCTGGATGAATTACGTCAGTGGTGGAGCTCATTCTCTTAGAGGGAAGCATTTCTCCGCACTCACAGGCCCAGTTACTGTTTTTCTGGCTTTTGGCAGATTGTATGCCTTGCAACTTCTTGACTGTTTTGGAAAAAGATACATTCTATTGCCTTCTTTTTTTAAAAAAAAAAATCAGAACATGACATTTACACATAATTCAAATAAATTTAATCCCTTCAACCAAAGCCTGATAAGGCTCTTGATCCAGCCCCCAGTCCAGAATCTTTGATTTTATCTTGATATTCTCATAATCCGTGAACTAACTTGTAAAGTATGCCACGATCAACACAAACAGTATCTCTAATATCTAGTAATTGGCTTTGGAAAAGGAAGACAGAGGAAGTAAATTAAAATATATAGGTGTGTGAGACTGCATGTGGGTGGGTACACACGCAGAATGCCTGCCTGTCTGCAGTCTTGATAACTAACTGGCTGCCAGGTCTCAGAAAACTTTCTGTGTCTTCCTTTTGGATGCTGCCGCAGTTTACAGCTTGCCTGCCCTGCAGTTTTTCTTTTAAACTCTAATACGTCCTCCCTCAGTTTCTCCAGTTCTAGTATTAGGGTTGTGGTTTTGGTTCACAGCATATATGAAATCTGCTGTGCCTTGTAGGACAGCAGACTCCCAGAGTTGTCTCCACTAAGTCAGTGGGCCCAGGGTCACCATTTAAACTAAATCCTGTGAACTCCCTAGGTAGGACTATGTTATTCTTCACTGTAAGGTGAATCATGTAACCAAAAGATTGATGTTTCTATTTAACACCATCTTGGGGGAAGCATCCCATTTCCTTTTTAAGTAGTTTAAGTTAAATTTTAAAATCCAAAATAAACCCATGGTGAAAATAATTTTCAATCAAAAACTGGAATATTAGTGTTTAAAAAATCTTTTCCAATAATATTTACAATGAACTTTATTACCTTATATAAGCACGAAGATGCTTTTCCCCAACCTTGGGACTAAAGAAAAAGAGTAAAAGAGTTCTGATGAAAATCATTAAGATCATGTGAAATTCTCATAAATTCCTACAGCTAAAAATGTCTGTCTGGATAGATCAGGACAGAGGCCCACTTCCCGCCATCATGTGACCAAACTGCACTTGAAGCCTATATGACAGGGTTTCCCAAGCCAAAAGCACACCATCCAAGCTCTCAGCTCATGGTTTGAGTTTGAGTCTTTTGACTATCAAAACTAAAACTTTCAGTCACTTTTGAGATAGCCAGTCACCAGTCCCTGTCTTAGCAACAGCCAGGCCACCTTCACAGAGGCTGCTGCCTCAGTAGAAGGAGGGGATGTCTGTACTGTATGCAGATAGATCAAAGGCCTGGCTGAAGCAGTCTCACAGAAGCAGCTGATGCTGACAGGCAAAGGCATGGGATGAAAGTGTAAAGAGCCAGGGCTAATCAGTCACCCACCAGCTGCCTTCTGTAGGACTAAAGCAGCAAGGTCTGCTTCTACAGAAGGAAAAAGACTGGGTTTGTAAGACATACTGGCCACATTTTGGTTTAGTTCTTGATCAGAAATCTGAAACTTAAGCCTGGCATGGTGGTGTACACCGTTAGTCCCAACACTTGGAAGGCAGAAGCAGGCAGATCTCTTGAGTCCAATGCCAGTCTGGTCTATAGAATGAGTTCAGGACAGCCAGGACTGCATAGTGAGATCCTGGGTTTAAAAAAAAGGAAGAAAGAAAAAAAATCTAAGAATGTTTTGTGCCTATAAAAATATAATTCATTTTATGAGTTCCTAGAAATAAATTATGAGGAAAAATAGACACTACATGTTTATAATGATATCCCTGGAATCTGCGACTTTGCCTGGGAAAATACACATTAAATTTAGCATTTTACTTCAATTCATTCTTTTTTCACCCTGTGATTTTCTAAGCAACAGGTACTAAGCAAGGTAATATAATTACTGGGTAGTAGTATAAAATTGTTCTCAAGTCATGTTTCCATGTCAGAACTTCATGAAGTATCTGGCATTAACTAGCTATGGTGTAACACCTGTAGTTCAGCACTCAAGGAGGATGAGGCAGGGGGATGTCAAAGTTAAGCCAACCTGGGCTACATATGAGACCATATCTAAAAAAATTAAAGAAAAAAAGTTTTAAAACAGAAAAATGTGTGGCATATCTTGTTATAAGAAAACTGGAAGTCTGGCTTTATTTTGGGACACGTATGTATGTTCTAGGATTAAAACTGAAGCTTTATACCTGCTAAGTAGGGATGCCCCAGGTTTGGTTTTGTAACTACAAGTGGTTGGCAACTGTTTCCTTAATAGTTATTGCAGGAGTAGGTCCAACATGAGTCCATATGTAGCCCTTCTCTGGTTGGGTAGGAACTGTGGGAAATGGTGATGACCTTGACTTGAAATACTCAGAAGGTGCGTGGCAGACAAATTCCAGGTACTCCATCTTCCTTGGAAGATCTTCCTCTGGCCCTAAGGGGCAGCCGGTGAAATAGTAAATACAGTTTTGAACACAGGTGTCATCTTTATAAAATGTTAGCATTCGTAGACACTAAGAAGAAATGCTCTTGTATGACCTACCTGATGTTAGCCTCAGAACATGTGTTTCTCTGAAGTTACACTCCATTATCTCTACTCAACTGACTAAGGAATACAGCATCCTCCCAGAGTGCTCAACTGAGAAAGGGTCCTAAAATATTGAGTATCTATGTAGTTTAAGAAAGGCCTGTAGTGTTCTAAGTACTTTACATATACCCACACTTCGAATCCTCACAACTTCCTCCCAGGGCTCTATTTTTTCCAATTTCACATCTAGGCACACTCAGGAAAGACGGATTAAGGACTGGTGAAGTTCCTTAGCCAGCAGGCAAGGGGGGAGAGGGGCCTATGAATCCAGTAGTCTGGTCCAGAGCTTGTGCTCCGACCTGAACACCATGTGACATCTTCTAGGCAGGGAAGCATCAGGACTTGGAGGATCATGAAAAGGAGTGAGAAAAGAGCCTAGAAACGATTCAGAATATCATGGCCTCTGATGTTCCATACTTACAAACACAGACAACTGTTTGGTCATACCCGACAAGCTTGACAGTGAATGAGAATAACATGGGATGTTAGCTGTCCTCGGGGTTCTCACTAAGAGAAATGTCACTCCCTTTGGGATGCAAAATGAACACATGCCCAATTCAGAAAAAAATAAAAGTACAAAATAACTGAAGGAGACTGAACTTTCAAAATTATATTAGCCGGTCATTTTTTATGAGTCTGTCAAGACTTAGTTGTACTCTATGTTTTGAATACCTTGAAATGATCAACCCAGTACAGTATCCCATTTCTACAATCAACGATTTTTTTTAAAGAATAAGATATCATGTATGCTGTGCAGAAGGATGTATACTGAGAATTTATAGGTTTTAGAAATAATTAGGAAAGTTCTTTTAGAAATTGTTTTTGAGTAATTTTATAGGTCCTCTATATAACCTAGACTCTTGTGTAGTTCTTTTCATACAGTTTATTCTTGGGTCATACAAACACATTCTACCCACGTTAGTGAATACACACTGTTCTAGCCCATAGTAACAAATGACATCCAAATATCAACTATGTAAAATGTCCCTGTATTTCTTACAATGCTCTTTCCTTTTTGTACGTAATGATATTTATGCCTTTTTAAATTCTGGATTGAACTTTGTTCCCAAACCTAATTTCACATGCTGATGGTCTATGTTTATATGGTTATGTGCTGCAGATGGGACCATTACAAAGGGGTAACCCCGTGCAAATAATAGCAAAAGAGTGGGCTCCCTCAATTCCAAATAAAGAACTGCAGGCAACTAAGAAATGCTGAGAGGGAATTGGTCATGGTGTTTCCTCATAGCAACAGTACAGTAACGAAGACGACCCCTATCTCCAAATTGGTTATCTATTACCAAGTGACCAGCCCTGAAGTTGTATGCATAAAGTAATATAAAAAGGACTCAGCAGGTTGTATTCATGAATGTAAGAATATACATTAATATATACAATAATTAAACAATTAACAGTAACAGAAGTAGAACCATAAATTTGAGAAAGAATGGGGTGGGGTACATAAGAGGATCAGAGGAAGAAAAGGAAAAAATATAATTGCATTTTAACTTAAAAAAAATAGTGAGCCCGTCTGATAAGATTGGTGTCCTTCTAAGAGACAACGGAGCACTCTCTCGGTGTGCACACAGAGAACAAAGACCATGGGAGGCAGCAATCAGACAGCCATCTGCAAGCCAGGAAGCAAGGCCTCATCCACGCTCATGGTCCCAGCACCCAGAGCTGACTTCTGACCTTCAGAACAGTCTGTTGCTCAAGCCCCAGTCTGTGACATTTTGCCATGTGACAGCTCTCACAGACTAGCACATTCGTTTATAATGTATTGAAGAATTAACCAAATGTAAGATACTGCACCTTACCGATTATGTATGAAGCAGGATCAAACTGGTCTCTGGGGCTGGCGAGGGTAGGGATGAGCCATGTCAGCGCAGCACTCTTCTCACAATACTGGTCCTGAATAAAGCCCCTGATCTGAGCGTAGTATGGCTTCCCATCTTGCTCGTCAATCACAGAAACGACATCACCAATTTGGTAATATACTCCCTGGGGGAACCAGAGGACAATCTTGTATTTAAAATAGTAACAGATCACAACCTTCATTCATCAGCAAGCAAAATTTCAAAATAGTTAAAAAAAAAAAAAGTCTGATTATCAATGTTTTACATTATGTTGATGTTTGTTTCCCTTCTGAATGAAAAATAATTACATAATACCAATATATGACAACTTAGAACTGGGGAAAATATTTCTGTATATAAATTCTTTGATTCTTAAATCATAAAAGTACTATCTCTACTTCTAAAAGACAGACTTCATTTTTCAGACTGGTTTTGAATTCACAGTGAGACCATGGAAAGTAGACAGGGAGTTTCCCCTAGGTCCTTTACCTGGCACATACATGAGTCCTCTACCCGCGTCTCCGTTATCAGAGTGAGACATTCACAGTGACTGATGAACCTAGACGCCACATCCTGATGACTCCAACATCATACATTCACCTTAGTTATCTTGGTGCTATATAACCCGGGGCTTTGGGACATGTATAATGTGAAGCCACTATGATCATATATATCATTGAGTAGTTCCACTGGCCTAAAAACCCCTACTTTTTTTTTTAACAGTCATTAAACTGTAGAAAAGTTAAATGACTTGTTGCTGAAGT